ACAATGTTACCCAGCATGCTGTTGGCATTGTTGTGAACAATTAAGGGCAAGATTCTTGCCAAGAGAATTAATGTGCATATTGAGCATATTAAGCATTCTGAGAGCAGAGATAGCTTCCTAAAATGTGTGAAGGAAAATTACCAGAAAAAGAAAGAAGCCAAAGAGAAAAGTACCTGGGTTCAACTAAAGTGCCAGCCTGCTCACCCGGAGAAGCACATTGTGAGAACCAATGGAAAGGAGCCTGAGCTACTGGAACCTATTCCCTATGAATTCATGGCATGATGGGTGTTAAGAATAAACTAATCTGTGGTCTATAAACATGTTTGCCTTAATTGAGTAGAATTATGTTCCCTCTCCAAAGCTAATTTTGATTGGGCTCTAATTCATTTTGTAATATCTTCATTCAAATTTAGTGTTTTTTACCTGTAAGATGTTAGGTGGTTTGGTTTATACAACAAATAAAACTTAGTTGGTTAGGAAAAAAAAAAAAAAAAAACTCTCAAAAAGAAAAAGAAAAGAAAAAGACCACTATTATATAAGCTTATTTTACTACCAGGTCTTACAAAGTCTCTGTTTCAAACGAATCAACCACTGTGACTCTTGATTCTTTCCTGAACAATAAAAATCATCATTACATTAACTAAAATCATTAACTTCAAAAGTGACAAATGCCAGGGTCAGCAGGTGGCATGGTAGTTGGGACACAGGGCTCCCACATGGCCAATCGCAGTTCAAGTCCCAGACAGGGCAGCTTGAAAATCATACCAAGCATTTGTGTATGCATTCCCAGAATTCCAGGAGAAAATGGAGCATAAGGGATGCAGCATGGTCATACCCCCAAAACTTTCCCTCTCTCTCTCTCTCCACATGTATGCACCTTAGGGCAAAAACAAAAAATAAAAAAACAAAGTAACAAATATCTTTTTTATATATTTATGGGTATAACAGTAAAAATCATTACCTTTCATGTTAGCAAATTGTTAAGTGGACTATATTGTTAACCGGACTATATGTAGAGGCTTGAAAGCATACAATAAGAAAGTTCAATTTACTAAGCACTCCCTATGTGCCAGGCATTTTATTGAATTAATTCATTTATATGTGCAGAAAAAATAATGACAGGGGTTCTAATAAGAATAAAAAAACAATTTTATAATTTAAAAAGTGAATTTATAGAGACAATAGAAGTAGATCTTACCAGTAAAGACATCAAACAAACTTGTTCCATCACCATTCTCATCATCTGCTGCCATGATCCTATTGCCTTTTGATAGTCGCCATCTAAGGTATTAAATATAAAGATTTTCCACTGTTACAAATCTACCTTATGGGGCCAGCAGGTGGCATGGTGACTGAGACGCTGGACTCCGACATGGCCAAATGCAATTCGGGTACCAGACATGGTAGCTTGCTTTTTCCCTTTCTCTTTCTCTCTCTCTCTCTCACTCCCCCTCCCTCCCTCCTTCTTTGTCTTTCTCTGGTCAAGTTGAAATAATAAATAAAATTAAATATGTAATTTAAAAAAGAAACTACTGTATACACCAAGCAAACACATGCCATGATCTGGGGCTGGCTGAAGCTGGGGATGAATTGCAGTGCGTAAACTCTTTTGAGGAGCCTGTCTCTGATTCTCTCTCTAGCTTACGTAAGAAGTAAACTTTAAAAAAAAAAAAAATCAAACTTATAGTTTGAATAATAAACCTAGCTTCAAGTTAAAATGCAGTTTTCAAGTCTGGACACACTGAATAAGTTTAATCTCTACCACCTTTAAAAGCAGAATTGTTATTTTTAGGGACCAGTAATTGGCGTAATGGCTGGACTCCCATGTAGTCGACCACGGTTTGAGTCCGGACCCAGTGGCTTAAACTCACGCCAGGCACGTGTGCATGTATGCCCAAGATCCCAAGAGGAGAATGGAGGAGAAGGGATTGCAGCATGGCCATCCCCCTGGGGGGTGATTTCTCGCTTTCTGTTTCTCTGTCCTCCTAGCAAGTGCATGATGCGCCTTATAGCAAAAACCTCTCCAAAAGAAAAAAAAAGAATTGTGATTTTTAAAATGTGTTAACATTTGGAACCAGCAGATGGCATAATGGTTACATAACTGGACTCCCACGTAGTTGACTATGGTTCAAGTCCCAGACCCAGTGGCTTAAAAGTCACATGCAAGTGCACACGCCCTATAGCAAAAACCTCTAAAAAAAAAACAAAAAGAAAAGAAAAAAGAAAAAGAAAAAATAGAGAAGGGCTTATGGTATAACTACTCCCACGGTGAGGGGGTGCATCCTCCCTCTCTCTTTGTCTCTCTCTGGCAAGTATATGTGCCATCTAGCAATGATCTTTTTTTTTTTTTTAAAGATCATTTCAAGAACCAGCAGGTGGCGTGGTGGTTAAGGTGCTGGACACTCGCACATGGCTGACCATGGTTTGAGTCCCAGACCTGGCAACTTGCTTTCACTCCCCCTACCCCCCTCTCTCTCTCTCTCTCTCTCTTTCTGGTCAAATTAAAATAAATGAATAATAAAGTTAAATAAATAATTTTAAAAAAAAAAAAAAGATCATTTCAATGGGGCCAGCAGATGGTGTGGTGGTTAAGGGTGCTGGATTCTCACAGGGCCGATTGTGGTCTGAGTCCCAGACCTGGCAGCTTGCTTTCTCGCTTTCCCTTTCTCTCTCTCTCTCTGTCCCTCTCTGATCAAAAGTAGTAATAACAAATAGAATTAAGTAAATAAGTAAATAAATCTTTAAAAAAAGATCATTTCAACAATAACAGAACTATAAAGAACATAGGAATTAATCTAATACAAGAAGTGCAAGACTTTTAACTTGCCACTAATAGCTAGAATGAAGACACAGATTATATAAATATTTGTGTAACTGTATTCCAATAAAACTTCACAGAAACAAGCAGTTGATCTCAAATCTAAGTAAGTGACAAATACCAGAATTATATATAGAAAAACTCAATATCAATATCAAAGCTGGCAGTTCTCCCACATTCACCTATAAGTTCAATGTCATGCCAATCAAACTTATAAGCTGATAAGAAATTCAAATTGAAATACAAAGGGCCTAGGAGGATGATAAAAATTGGTTTTAGCGAGTAAGAACTAAACCTTTTTATTGAAATGTAACATTGTTGTGGTCAAATGCTTATGTCTCCCCAAAATTCCTATGTTGAAATTCTAACTCTTAAGGCAATGTATCAAGAAGCACAGCCTCTTGGGGGCAAGCAGGTGGTGTGGTGAAGGCACTAGATCCCACGTGGTTGATTCTATGATTCAAGTCCTGAACCCGACAGCTTAAAAACCACACCAGGTGTGTGTGTGTGTGCGTGTGTGTGTGTCCAAAATTCCAGGAGGAAAATGGAGGAGAAGGAATAACAGAGTAGCTACCCCCACTGGAGAAAGAAGCACAGCCTCTTGGGGGCAAGCAGGTGGTGTGGTGAAGGCACTAGATCCCACGTGGTTGATTCTATGATTCAAGTCCTGAACCCGACAGCTTAAAAACCACACCAGGTGTGTGTGTGTGTGCGTGTGTGTGTGTCCAAAATTCCAGGAGGAAAATGGAGGAGAAGGAATAACAGAGTAGCTACCCCCACTGGGGAGCAATTTCTCACTTTCCCTCTTTCTTTGTCTCTCTCCTCTCTCCAGAGATCACACTAGCCCTATGGCAAAAATCTAAAAACAGAGAGACACAGCATTTGGGAAGTAATTAAATCATGGGGTCCAAGCTCTATAAACAGTATTGGTACATGAAAGAGGCCTGAAGGAGATCCCTTAATCCTTCCACCATGTGAGGACACAGAAGGTGTCATCTATGAGGAATCAGACCCTTGCCAGATACCAAATCTACAGTGCACTGATCTAGGACCACCTAGTCTCTAAAACTGTGAGAAATAAGTGTTAATTGTTTATAAGACATTTGGTTTATGGCATTTTGTTACAGCAGCCCAAATGGACTGACAAACAAATACAGAAAAGAACATAAATCCTAAGTACAAAGCAACATGATTTTTCACAAACTAAACGCATCTATGTTACTACCACTCTGATCAAGAAACAGATCATTACCAGCACCCCAGAAGCCCTTCTCATGACCCTTTGTGGCCACTATGCACTCTCAAATACAGGCAAAGATGCATAGAGAATGAAAACATACACAATTCTGATGACCTGCTTTGTAGAGGTAGGATTTGCATGTCTACGGAAGAGCAGAAAATATCTATGGAATGGGGCCAGCAGGTGGCATGGTAGCTTGCTTTCTCACTCTCTCTTTCTCATTCTGTCCCTCTCCGGTGTCAAACCAAAATTAATTAATTAAAGTTCAATAAAATAATTCTTTAAAAATAAAATAAAATATCTATGCGGATGTGTACGGATTCCAAATGAGAACACCATTAGCAAAACCTTAACGCATTATAAACAGAATCACCTTGACCTGGTGTAGTGGTTTATTCCTGCAGTCCTAGCTACTAAGGAGGCTGAGACAGGAGAACCACAAATTTGAGGCCAGTTTGGGCAACACAGCAAGACCTGTCTCTAAATAAACACATATAATAAATAAAATGGCTTGGTTGGAATGGGTTTTAGGTAGAACAAGAGAGATTAACCTATCAATGTCATTAGCATCAAACAGAAGATACCAAATGCCAGGCTAAGGACTCTGGGCTTGATCTTTCAGAGAACAGGAACACTGAAGGTTTTGGACTCAGAAACATCAATCTGAAGAAATGAAGTAGGAAGATGAATGTGTGGAATAAACTGAAAAGACAAAATAAGAGGGAAAAAAAACTGGGAAGAAGACTTTTTTTTCTTTCCTGGAGAGGTTTTTGCTATAGGGTGTGTGCGCTCGCCAGACAGAGACAGAGAGACAGAAAGCAAGAAATCACCCCCAGGGGGGATGGCCACGCCGCAATCCCTTCTCATGCCTTCTCCTCTTGGGATCTTGGGCACGCACATACACGCGCCTGGCGTGAGTTTAAGCCACCGGGTTCAGGACTAGAACTACGGTCGAATACGTGGGAGTCCAGCACCATAGCCATTACGCTAACTGCTGGTCCCGGAAGAAGACTATTCTAAGAGCCCACATGATAAAATTTAACCCAGGATGAGGACAGTGAGAATGAAAAGGTTATATGAAGCAAAGTAACATAAGAAGGCAAATAGAGTAAAAGTTTAGAAATGGGAATAATCATCTTCTGTCTCAATTCACTGTCAAGTTAGGAGCTTCCTGTGTCTTTGACTTCTTTACCCACTCACTTTCAAACAGTTGCAAATTCTTAGTGATTTTAATACATTTATGTATTTACTCATTAGTTTGCTATAGGGCACGTATGCTCACTGGAAGGAGACAGAGACAGCAAGAGGAAAAGAAGGAAAGCATCCGCCAAGGAGGATGGCCACACTACAGTCTCTTCTCCATTCTTCTCTCAGTATTTTGGGCATGCACATACACGTACTCAGCATCCTTTTCAATCTGCCAGGTCTAGTCAGTCAGCCATGTGGAATCCACATACCTTAACCTCCATACCACCTGCTGACCCAATGATTTTATTTCTAAATGTCTCTTAAATTAAACGTTTCCCTTCCACTCAGTTACTGTTCTAGTTTTATATATGATTATTTCTCATATTAATAAAAAGTCTAATTTTCATAATACCCATTTTTTTCCTTTTTATCATTTTCCATAGAGAAACCAACGTTAATCCTATTTATGTCTAGTCTCTATTTTACTACCAGGTTTAAAAAAAAGGGGGCTGGCAGGTGGCATAGTGAGTTGGGGCACCAGACTCCTACATGGCCAACCATGGTTCAAGTCCTGGACTTGGCAGCTTGCTTTCTCACTTTCTCTCTCTTTCTGTGTTGCTCTGATCAAACTAAAATAATAATAATTATGATGAATAAAATTAAATAAAATAATTCTTTATTTTTTTTTTTTTAAAAAAAAAAGCTCTCAAAAGCTAACCAAAGGAACCAGCAGTTAGCATAATGGCTATGTCGCTGGACTCCCATGTAGTCCACGTGTGCGTGCTTGCCCAAGATCCCAAGAGGAGAATGGAGGAGAAGGGATTGCGGTGTGACCATCTCCCCTGGGGGGTGATTTCTCGCTTTCTGTCTCTATGTCTCTGTCTGTCTGGCAAGCACACGCGCTCTATAGCGAAAGCCTCTCCAAAAAAAAAAAAAAAAAAGCTAACCAAGAGCTGGTCCTATGGTCTAGTGTTCAGGGAAGCTGGATCCCTCAGAGTCAAATGTGCAGTTCAAGTCCCAGCTCTGGCAGCTCATAAAACATGCTGGGCATGTGTGCATGCATGACCTAAATCCTCGCAGGATGAAGAGCCAGAAAATAAACTGCAGTATAATCATACTTTTCTACAGGGCCCTTTCTCCCTCACCCTCCCTGTCTATCTCCAGCAACTGCACAAACCCTCCCGCAACCTGAAAAAGAGCTAACAAAATATAATCAAGCTTAGTTTCTCTAGCAGAACTCAAGACATTTCCAGAAATGTCTATCACTATTTTTCTATCTCTCTGTTCCCTCACCTACCTGACTCCACCACACAAAATTTTATACACACCATGTTCTTATTATATAATGTACACTAGCTCACATGTTATTGAAAGTAGGGAAATGATGTCAGTATAGGCAGAAATCATATTGGTCCATACAACAGTCTTCCCAGGATGTTAAAATTTTACACCATTTGAGACCAGCAGATGGCACAATGGTTACATTGCTGGACTCCCACACTGTCAACCACAATTTGAGTCCTGGACCCAGCGGCTTGAAACTCACAACAGGGTCATGCACCTGTGCCCAAAATACCAAGAGGAAAATGGAGGAGAAAGGCATGGCCATCCCTCTGGGGAGGTGATATCTCACCTTTCTATCTCTGTCTCTCCAGTGAGCGCACATGCCCTATAGCAAAAATCTCTCTTAAAAAAAAAAAAAATTACACCATTCATTAATGCCAACTAAATTCAAAGCACACCAGCACAGCTGAATACAGTAAACCCTGAAGGAATCTAGTCCTGCATACAATGCTCTTAACCAAATGGCATGCCCATCACTTTCCTTTTTTTTTTCTCTGGTCTCAGTATAGCCACAGGCCTTTGCCTTGCAAGGGCTTAAGCATGGTTTTCCTCAATCTTCATGAAAAAAACAAAACAGTAGAGTAAGCACGGTGGTTCATGCCTATAATTCTAGCTACTTGGGAGCCTCAAACAGGGAGATGGTGAGTTTGAGGCTAATCTGGCCAACCTAGTGAGACCCTGTCTGTCCCTCTCTCTCTCAATTTTATTTTTTTGTGTATGCTAAGAGTGCACAAGCACTGACCAGAGAGACAAAAGAGAGTAAGAGAGGAGAAAACACCCCCAACTTTGGGCACAGTCATGCTGCAATCCCTTCTCCTCCATTTCTCCCCTCCTTTCTGGATTTGGACACACACGCATGCCCAGCATGTTTCTCAAGCAGCCAGGTCCAAACTTGAACTGCATGGCCAGCCACATAGGCTCCAGCTGCCTTAATCACCAGGTCATGGAGCTGGCCTTAGATCCTGTCTTTTGAAAAATAAAAGAAAGAAAAAAACAAAAACAAGGCAACAAGCTAGAGCCATCCAGCCTACCACCACAGTACTTCACATAAACACATAAAACCTTTACCACTCAGCTTCTGGTATTTACACCCCGTCCTCATTTTCATGTCTCAAAAGCCTCAATGGTTCCTATTCTTCCTTCCATCAAGCTACCTTTAGCCAAGATATTTATTAGGAAATTTTCATATCATTTCAATAGTTTCAATATTTTATAAAATGTTTATTGTGGACCAGCCCCACAGCCTAGTGGTTAAAGGATTCAGATCAGATATTGAAGACAGCATGGTTAAAGTCCTGAGGCCAGCAACTTTGAAAAACACACTGGCGGCACATGTACCTGTATGTCTAATATTCCAACAGGATGGAGTAATGGAGGAAAAGGGATTGCAATATGACCAAACTCACTGGGGGGGTAGGGGGTGTTGAGGTGCTTTCTCTCCATCTCCATCTATCTCTGTTGTCTCTTTGGTGAGCATGCCTACACCCTGGCAAATTAAAAAGACTTGAGGCCGGTAGATGGCATGGTGGTTAAGGGTGCTAGATTCCCACATGGCCAACTACAGTTCGAGTCCTAAATCTGGTGGCTTGCTTTCTCACTTTCTCTTTCTCTCTCTCTCTCTCTCTCTTCCTCTCTGGTCAAATTGAAATTTAAAAAAATAAATTTTAAAAAGGATAAAGTTAAATAAAATAATTCTAAAAAAAAAAAAAAAGACTTGGGACCAGCAGTTAGTGTAATGGCTATGTCACTGGACTCCCATGTAGTCGACCGCGGTTTGGGCCCAGGACCCGGTGGCTTAAACTCATGTCGGGCGTGTGTGCGTGCGTGCCCAAGAACCCGAGAGAAAAATGGAAGTGAAGGGACTGCGGCATGGCCATCCCCCCTGGGGGGTGATTTCTCACTTTCTGTCTCTGTTTCTCTCCATCTTTCTGGCAAGCACACGCGTCCTATAGCAAAAAAACAAAACAAACAAAAAAAAGACTAATGTCCATTGTTCCCCATTTCAAACTGCTCTTATCACAGCCTCAGATGGTTTTTCAAACTGCAAATCTGACCATGTTCCTTTCTCTGCCCAAAACCCTCAGTGC